TTCTGAAGAAACATTGCGGGGGGGGGGGGGTATTTTCTTTCAATTTTTTTCTCCTCATTTCTCCCTCATGTTATATCCCCTTTTTCTATACGTTCAATACTTTTTTTTCAACCTTTAATCTTTGATACTACTTATATCACTCTATTGTGTTGCAAGTGCTGTGTGGGTGGTTGACGGGTGCTCTGGTGTGGCTTGCTCCTTATTTCCTGTCAAGCATCTATTTATTGTCCTTGTCTCTCCTCCTTTTTAGTGTTTGTTACTCTCTTGTATCAATTCTACTTTTCGGCACTTATAATATGACCGTACTGTTTTGCAAGTGCCGTAAAACCTCTACTAAAACTAAACTCTGTTGACATCCACCTTTTGGCGCTCATTATGCAGTTGCGAGCTCCGTCCTTACTTTACGTTATTTTTCCGATTCAGCGGCCTTTTGGGTTCAAGCCCTTTGGCCTGTCGATATGGCAAAGAATACTTGCAAGCGCCGTAAAACCTCTACTAAAAGTAAAGCAAACCACCCCTTAGCGCTCATTATGCAGTTGTGAGCGCTGTAAAACCTCTACTAGAACTAAACTCTGTTGACATCCACCCCTTGGTGCTCATTATTTAGTTGCGAGCGCCGTAAAACCTCTACTAAAACTAAACTGAACCCCTCCACAGAGTGATCAATGCCACCGACCTGAACTACCACATAGAAGAGCTGCGGCCCAACACGGAGTACGAGTTCATGGTCAAGTATGTCAAAGGTCGCCGCGAGTCCAAGTACAGCATGGCCGTACGCAACAAGACGGAGGAGACAGGTGGGTATCTGGACGAGAGAGAGAGAAAGAGAGACAGAGATAGAGAGAGAGAGAGACAGAGAGAGAGACACACAGAGAGAGAGACAGACAGAGAGTGAAAAAGAGAGAGAGGGGGGCGGGGGGGGGAGAGAGGGGAAGAAAAACAGGCATTTCCTTTAGAATACAGTTTTGTTAAGTTTTGTTATTTCCTTCGTAGAGAGAGAGGGGAAGAGAGAAAAAAAACATTTTTTGTACAAGACAGTTTTGTTCAAGTTTGTTATTTCCTTTGTGGTTTTGTTTTTAAAAGAAAACTTACGAGTACGTTAATCACGATTCTAATTAAGGACTTTGTTACGTGCCTGGTGAAAGACGCCGTATGGGGCATTTTGAGGATTTGCATTTTATTGCATTTTCAGGTAAAAAAAATCATTTCTGTTTTAAAAAGTCGCTTTCTTTAAACCTCAGCTGTAGCTTGTTCCTAACAAAATTTGAATGCGAAATGATAATATTAGTTATTTTAGGGTTTTGTTTTTGTTTTGTTTTTGTACTGTACAACTTATCGTCGTCTGTTGTCCACAGCGCCGGGCTCTGAGCCGAGGGACGTGACGCCAGTGGCGCTAGAGAACAACCCCCTGGCCGTCAGCCTCAACTGGCAGCCCCCGGCTCGGCCCAACGGTCAGATCACGGGCTATCTCATCTACTACACCAACGACCTTCACATTGATGACCTCCTCTGGCCCATGGAAGGCGTCGTCGGAGACAAGTAAGATAATAATAATCATTATAATAATAACAATACTAATAATAACCCTTTGAACCCTGGCCACCAGTACAGCGGTAACATGTAAAATTGCTCATAGGCCTAGCCACCAGTACAGCGGTAGGGGGGTCTCTATCCCTATCCCAGCTTGTCTGGAATGAAACGCATATGGAAAACAGTGATTACTATGCTGGACGTTTCTGATTATTTTGAAGATCTTTCTGATTAGATGCTGGTAATTGCGAGGACTACCCTGAGTGGGATATGGAATGTGATTCTGACGATGATATAAACGAAGGCGTGAGTTGCTCTGGGGCTCAGGCAGGAGGGAACAGTAGCCTCAGGAGGTCAGGGCTCAAAGGGTTAACCCTATCCGTACGTCGTGTTTTACTATCGTATTCATACGACACGTGGAGAACTCTATGCCACCACTTTCCTTTACTTTTTTAACTTTTATCCCCCGGTTATACCCTTTTGGGTTCGTGGGAAGAAAGAGACGTCTCTGTCGCCAGCCGGAGAGCTTGGGTCAGGGGGATGCCGTAGGTGGTTAATGTTTCTCTGACTCCCATCTATTCAGGTCTTTCTCGGTCGCCCTCTAGCCTTGTTGCCATCGAATTTTTTTATGTAGGCACGTTGTGCTGGATGGTGTGTTGGTAATCGTAGGAGATGGCTGAACCACTTTCCAAAGAGGAAATTTACTTATTTATATTATAATTATATTTTCAGACAAAGCCCCTTGAGATCGTATGAGTTTGAAAGTTTTCAGGCAAAATGGTTGTGATCAACTTTTACCCGTGTGAGTGTCAATGTGTATGTTACCTTTGACCCTACACTCATCCATATTGTGCCTCTTCCCCCCCCCCCCCCCCCCCTCTCTCTCTCTCTCTCTCTCCCCCCCCCCCCCCCAGGTTATCCCTGGGTGGCGGGTGCTCTGGTGTGGTTTGCTCCTTCTTTCCTATCAAACATCTGTTGTCCTTATCTCCCCTCCTTCTTTGTGTTTGTTACTCTCTTGTAACACATAATCTAATTTTCGTCTCTTATATGACCTTATTGTGTTGCAAGTGTTGTAAGACTCTTACTAAAACTAAACTAAACTAAACAGGTTGTCCACTGTGATTGACAAGCTGACCCCGGACACCACCTACCACTTCAAGGTGCAGGCCCGCAACTCTAAGGGGCTCAGTCCCCGCTCCAAGGCTGTCACCTACAACACACCCAAAGGTGAGTGCTTATATTGATTGGGGGGGGGGGTGTTGGTGGTGTTAATGGTGTCAATGTTGTTGTTGTTGGTGGTGTTGTTGGTGGTGTTGTTGATTTTGTTGGTGCCCACCCCGCAACTCTAAGGAGCTCAGTCCACACTCCAAGGCTGTCACCTACAACACTCCAAAAGGTGAGTGCTTATATTGATGGTGGGGGGTGTTGTTGTTGGTGGTTGGGGGGTGTTGTTGTTTTTGGTGGTGATGGTGTTGTTGTTAATGTTGTTGGTGGTGCCCGCCCGCAACTCTAAGGGGCTGAGTCCACACTCGAGGCTGTTACCTACAACCCTGCCAAAGGCAAAGGTGAGTGGTTATGTTGATGGTGGGGGTGTTTGTGGTGGTGTTGTTGTTGGTGTTGTCAATGTTGTTGTTGTTGTTGTTAGTGGTGTTGTCAATGTTGTTGTTGTTGTTGGTGGTGTTGTTGTTAGTTGTATTGTCGTTGTTAATGTTGTTGTTGGTGGTGGTGTTGTTTGTTGTTAATGTTGTTGTTCGTGGTGATGGTGTTGTTATTGTTGTTGTTAGCGGTGTTGTCGTTGTTAATGTTGTTGTTGGTGGTGGTGGTGTTGTTATTGTTGTTGTTAGTGGTGTTGTCAATGTTGTTGGTGGTGGTGGTGGTGGTGTTGTTAGTGGTATTGTTGTTGTTAATGTCGTTGTTGATGGTGTTGTCAATTTTATTGTAGGTGATGGTGGTGATGTTGTTGATAGTGGTTCTGTAAATGTTGTTTGTTGTTGGTGTTGTTGTCAATGTTGTTGTTGTTGGTGGTGTTGGTCGGGGATCTCGTGATCTACAGGTTAAGGTGTTTACCGCTTATTCAATAGGCAGTGGGTGGTAGTGTTGTTGGTGGTGTGTGTGTGAGTGGTAGCCTATCCGTTCGAAATGTTCGGAGCCCCGAAGTTGGTGGTGTTGTTGTTGTTAATGTTGTTGTTGGTGTTACCATATTGATGGTGGCGGTGTTGTAGGTGTTGTTATTGTCCATGTTGTTTTTGTTGGTGCCCACAACTCTAAGGGGCTGAGTCCCGCTGCAAGGGTGTTAACTACGACACTGCCAAAGGTGAGTGCTTATATTGATGGTGGGGGTGTTGTTGTTGTTGTTGTTGTTGTTAGTGGTGTTGTTAATGTTGTTGTTGTTGATGGTGGTGTTGTTGTTGATGTTGTTAATGGTGTTGTTAATGTTTCTTGATGGTGTTGTTGTTATTGTTGTTGATGGTCGTGTTGTTGTTGTTGATGGTGGTGTTGTTGTTGTTGATTGTGTTGTTGTTGTTGTTGTTCAGGGCTCTCGTGGTCTACAGGTTAAGGGGTTCACCGGTGAGTGGTTGATGGGTGCTCTGATGTGGTTTGCTCCTTCTTTCCTATAAAAAATCTATCGTCTCTATCTCCCCTCCTTCTTTCTTATGTTTGTTACTCTCTTGTAACACCTCTAATCTTCGGCACTTATATGACCTTATTGTGTTGCAAGTGCCGAGTGGGTGGTTGGTGGGTGCTCTGGTGTGGTTTGCTTCTTCTTTCCTATCAAACATCTATCATCCTTATCTCCCCTCTTTCTTTTTTATGTTTGTTACTCTCTTGTAATCTTCGGCACTTATATGACCTTATTGTGTTGCAAGTGCTGTAAAACTCTCGCTAAAGCTAATTCAATAGGCGGCGGTTCGAATCCGGATAGCAACGGAAAATGATCTTCTCTAAAACTTTTATCTTTTCACATCCTTTCCTCCTCTCTAAAAATATTGTCATCTGCTTATGTCTCCACTTTCTGCCCCCACCCCGTCACCTCCTTTGCCCCCTCCTCTGGGCTCCTGACTCTTTCTGTAGCATTTCTACTGCTACTCCTTGGCTCCTTCTTACTGCTGTCTTCCTGTCGCACCCCTGATCTTATGGTAGGAAAGATTTACACCTTGCCTTCTCGGATAAGGGCAAAAAATCTCGGAGGTCCTGTGTGCAAGTCGCGCACATTAAAGATCCTTTTGTGGTCCAAAATCTATAAGAGTAGGCTTTGGCCGCCACCCGTGCAAAATTCAAAATGTCCTGCGCGCTCATGTGACCTTATGCAGTTGCGAGCGCCTTAAAGCATCTACCAAAAAGAAAAGAAAAAAAGTTGGTGTTGTTGTTTTTGGTGGTGTTGTCAATGTTGTTGTTATTGTTGTTGGTGTTGGTTGTGGTGGCAGTGTTGTTGTTGTTGCTGTTGTTGTTAATTTTTTTGTTGTTGTTGTTAATTTTGTTGTTTTGTTGTTGTAGTTGTTGTTGTTATTAATGTTGTTGTTGCTGCTAGTGCCAGTGCTGAAGGTCGCTTACAACAGGCCCAAGGGTGGATGTCACTGTTGTTGTTGTTGTTGCTGTTGTTGTTGTTGTTGCTGTTGTAGCTAGTATTGCTGCTTTCTATGTTGTTGGTAATGTTGTCGTTGTTGTTGCTGTTGCAGCTGGTAGTGCTGTTGGTGGCCACAACTTCGGCTCCAAGGCGGGCACTTACAACACTCCCAAAGGTCGGTGGTGATGTTGTTGTTGCTGTTGTTGCTGTTGTTGTTGTTGTGGTTGTTGTTGTGGTTGTTGTTGCTGTTGTTGTGGTTGTTTGTGTCATTGTTGTTGCTGTTGTTTGTATCATTGTTGATGTTAGTGTTGTTGTCATTGTTTGTATTTGGGTGGTTGGCAGGTGATCTGGTGTGGTTTGCTTCTTCTTTCCTATGAAACATCTATCGTCCCTATCTCCCCTTCTTCTTTTTTATGTTTGTTACTCTCTTGTAACTCCTCTAAATATCTTCTGACGCTCATATGACCTTAATGCAGTTGCGAGCGTCGTGAAAACCTCTACTAAAACGAAAACTTGTTTGTATGGGTGTGATTGTTGATCTCATTATTGTTGTCATTGTTTGTATGGTTGTGTCTGTTGTTGTCATTATTGTTGTCGTTGTTGCTGTTATTAATATTGTAATGGTTGTTGTTGACCTTGGTGTTGTTGTCATTGTTGGTGTTGTTGCTGTTGTCGTTATTGTTGTTGTTGTTGATAATGGTGGTGCTGTTGTTTTTGGGTTTGTTTGTTGTTTTTTTCAATTTATTTCAAGCTAACCCAAAAGGGGGGGGGGTTTAGAGGGCGCCATTGGTAGGTCCAACTTCTTTACTTCCCCTCTGTTGTTTCTGTCTTTCTGTCTTACTTATAACTTTATCCCAGCAGTAAATGACTGTTGTTGTGTCAATGTGCTTCTCTTCACCAAACACACAAACAGAAGTGGGTGGTTGGCGGGTGCTTTGGTGTAGTTTGCTTCTTCTTTCTTTCCTATCAAACATCTATCGTCCTTATCTCCCCTTTTTCTTTTTTATGTTTGTTACTCTCTTGCAACACCTGTAATCTTCCGACGCTCATATGACCTTATGCAGTTGCGAGCGCCGTAAAACCTCTGCTACTCCCCCCGCGGCAGTGCCACTGACTGTAGTGTCTTTAGGCCATTCCCAAAAGGGGGGGACATTTCTCGTTCTAGCATAGTAGAATTGTAAATGGGCTGACTCATGTTATGCTCATAACTGTGCCTGAACTACAACAGGGAACTGCTGCTTTTTCTATCCTAATCCTTTCTATTGTCATTTCCCTCTACTTCTTCTGTATTTTTGTCACTCTCTTGTGACCTGCTATTTTGGGGTGCCTTGACAGTCGAAGCAGACTTTGTGCTGTTGAAGCTAGAGAGGTGAGCAGTCTAAGTCTGATTCCCTGTAAAGACTTCTCTGTTGACACCCACCCTTTGGTGCTCCTATGACCTTATGCAGTTGCGAGCGCCGTAAAACCCTCTACTATAAAATAAAAAAAACAACCTCTACTAAAATGATCAAGACAAACATGCCATGGGTACTTACACTGGTTGTGTCCTGACAGGCAGGGTGGGTGGTTAGCGGGTGCTCTGGTGTGGTCTGCTCCTTCTTTCCTATCAAACATCTATCGTCCTCATCTCTCCGCCTTCTCTTTTGTGTGTATGTTTCTCTCTTGTAATTGTAACACATCTATTCTTTGGCACTTCTATGACCTTATTCTGTTGCAAGTGCTGTAAAACTCTCACTAAAACTACCGACAGGCAAGGTTGGCACAGGCCACCTTCTGAAAAGTGGCATGGATGGCCTAGTGGTTATTCTCTCAGACTCTCAACCTTAAGATCATGGGTTCGAATCCCATCAGGGGGCCCAACGTTGTGTCCTTGGGAAAGGCACTTTACACAAATTTTCCTCACTTCACCCTGGTGGGAATGGGTACCCGGCTATAGACAGTGAGAGATCTTGTCAGTTTGTTAGTGTTTGACGGCTTAATCAGCTGCTTTCTCTCTAGGCTTCTGAGTGTTCTATTGTCTGCTGGGGTAATAATATTGTGTAAAGCGCGTGAGTTTGAGAGTTCGCTGTCTAGCGGGGATATGCGCTATACAAATGCTATTTATTATGATTATTATTATGAATTGTCTAAATAATGTCAGTGGGAGGGAATTTAAAACGTTCACTATTACTTTTTTTTTTGGGGGGGGGGTGTTATTTTATTTTGTTTTCAATTAAATGACCCATTACCAGGCCAGTGTGTTTCTCTTTACCCACCAGACTTAGTACTCCAAACGTATTACTATTCTGTTCTTGTTGCTTGTGGGTGGTTGGCAGGTACTCTTGTGTGGTTTGCTCCTTCTCTCCTGTCAAAAACTATTGTCCTTCTCTCTCCTCCTTTTTTGTGTTTGTTACTCTCTTGTAACACTCTAATCTTCGTCACTTATATGACCAAATCATCAAGTGCCCTGAAACTCTTGCTTGGAAAAAAATCTCGCTTCCTTTTTTGTGTTTGTTAATCTTCGTCACTTATATGACCTAATTGTTTTTCTCTATTTCTTGTGTATGTTTGTCACTCTCTTGTGAACTGCTATTTCTGGGGTGCCTTGATAGTCGAAGCAGACTTTGTGCTGTTGAGGCTAGAGAGGTGAGCAGAGTAAGCCTGATTCCCCGGTTGTACTTTTCTGTTGACATCCTCCCTTTGGCGCTCGTATGACCTTTTGCAGTTGCGAGCACCATAAAAACCTTACTAAAACTAAATTAACTATGACCTTATTGTGTTGCAAGTGCTGTAAAACTCTTACTAAAACTTTACTAAAACCATTTTCTGTTTCAGTTTCCAATCCCCCGGCGTCTGATGACGGCAAGGACCAGGGGCTCACCACAAATGTCATCATCATCATCGCAGCCTGCGTAGCCGGCTTCCTATTCTGCACGGGCGTCATTGTCGTCATCGTCTGTCTGTGTGTCTGTCGAGGGAGGAGAGCCAACAAGTGAGTTGTGTTTGTGGAGGGTGGGTGGTCTGCTTCTTCTTTTTCGATCCTCTTCTACTTCTTCCTCTTCTTTCTTTTTCTTTTTCGATCGTCTTCTTCTTTTTCTATCATCTCTTCTTTTTCTTCTTGTGTGTGGTTGGCGGGTGCTCTGGTGTGGTTTGCTTCTTCTTTCCTGTCAGACGTCTATCGTCTTTATCTCCCCTTTTTCTTTTTTATGTTTGTTACTCTCTTGCAACACCTCTAATCTTCTGACGCTCATATGACCTTATGCAGTTGCAAGCGCCGTAAAAGCTCTACTAAAACTAAACTAAACTTCTTCTTCTTCTTCTTCTTCTTTTTCTTCTTCTTCTTCTTCTTCTTCTTCTTCTTCTTCTTCTTCTTCTTCTTCTT